TTTTCATTAAGTGCTCTAGTAGTGCTGTGTTACAGACAGCATGTGCAAACTGTCCATGTCACAAGCAGCGTTAGCAAATGCTAACTGTGAGCTGCACACAGAAGTCTCTGATAAGAGCGCGTCACTCCCCCTTTTTGAACTGTGGGAAACGTGGCCTGGAGACTCTCCTGTGACCATCTGCTTTATACTGTCACAACATGGTTCACACTGCTGCTCATTGTAATACTTCATCATTTCGTACAAAGCAGAGCAATACTTTCAACTCTGAATGCCCTATCTTTAAAGTGATTTCACAAAGTTGAGCAATTCCTGTGACCTTTAATTTCTTTTTCTCAATCCAAGTTTTTATCCAGGAGATATTCAAGCAAGAATGTGCGTGGCTTGCCAAGAAAACTTGCTTTATTGCTGACTGCACGAAGATGAGAATCATTAGCAAAGTGCACCAGCAAAGAGAAACATAATCTACTGATGCCTGCTCATACAGTTTCATTTTTAAATGCCAAAACTATTCTTAAGGCTGAAGAATAGCTGTTACCAGAGTAAAAATGTAAAAAGCACTTGACTTTATGTATTTAGGCATTAAAAGTAAAAAGTACTAGACTTTTTTTTTTTTTAACCAAAACTGTGCTTTTTAGTGTGAACTAAAATTTAGTGTGCAAACAAAAGACAATATAGCTTGCCAGTTTATTTAAAAAATACAAATATGGACATGCGCATAATTCAGCAATCTCTAGCATGGTCCTGAACATCTCAAACTTTTGATAAATTTATTAACTGACGTATGCTAATTTACAAAAGGGTCACACATCCTAAAATGTGTCCGTAATATCAGTCACATTCAGCACAATTCAAGCTCTGCCATATTTGGCTCATTTTGAGTCATAATTTAGTAACTTAATTTTCCCAAAAGCATCATCAGCCAACTATGGGCAAATTGCATTAAACTCTTTTTGCAGTTATAAAACGTGAGACCATAGTTGGTCATTCTGAATGGAGTATTTGAATCAGTGAATCGATATAGACTTGTGTTCCATTCTGGAGGGTTCATCCCTATACCCTAATCCTTCTAATAAATACAAACTGATTCAGGCATAATAGGGATGAGCCCTTCCGAATGGAACAAAGTGTGCAAAACTAAGCAACATTCCTGCGCAAATGATTATGGGGACCTGAAGTGTGCAAAAATTGTACCCTTTGAATTTATTTTATATGGTAGCCATGATTGTTTTCATTCCAAAGTGCCCTTCGAGGGTGATTTATTATTATTTTTTTTTAATTTACAACACACTGCCATTCTGACCAAAACATCAGTGAATGGTTAACTGGAGACTCCCTTTGACCTCAGTAAGTGAATCAGCGTGTTTTTCAATTCATGTTTCATGTTATAATTCATATTTTGAATTATTTTGATTCAGCATGAAAAAAAGGAAGGTGTTCTGAGGCGCATTACTGGCGCGTTGCTTTTTTGAGAAACTATTATAGATTTTTCAATAGACAAAAACAAAGCCGGTCTAAAGTCCAGCGCAGATCACATTAGTTATGTGCCTCGTTTACACACTGCTTAATACACACAAGATGTAGAGCAATACGCAAATATCTTTAAAAATGTAAAATGATTAAAATATTAAGGATATATAGGATATAATAAGTACATATATAAATATAAAGGATTAAAATATTACAAATCATATTATTTTCCAGCCTACATAAATTTAAAAACCACTGCCTTCATGCCTTCTTCATCTCGGGAGGCTTTTTCAGTTCATTCATAACAATTTGCTTTTGTATAATGTTATTATTATTAGCAGTATTATTTATTATATCCATATTTATTTTTGTTTTATTAAAAATAAGCCCACCTGTCAGGTTTCAGACCATATGAGGCACATGAGGCACAGCATGTGTATTTGGATATATAACTCAGGTTTTTGACCACACTTCATTATTATTGTTCAATTGTTTGTTTGCTGGAACTTAGAACTGAATTTAGAAACAGTTTGAAAACAAATCTTTGCGCTTAACAAACAAAATTAATTATGTATAGGCTAATGGATATCTGTGCGTACAAGGTTTCCCTATCCACGAGAGCGAAAGTAGATTATGAGATGTCTTATCTCTCATTCTTGCGCTGTAGATGATCTGTTTAACTGTTTTTTTGCTAGTGAAATGCTCAGTTTTTCCACTCGCACTTTTTTGGCACAACGCAACTGGCTCTCAAAGGGAATGAAAGATGAGACTCTGATTGGTTTATTCTCAAAACACACCTATAACCCATTAAGAAAATAAACTCAACTCTTTTAGACCATGCGCCATGGCGCAAAGCAGATTTTTCTGTCTTTAAAATAGCAAATGTGGATTCTGACACGCCCTGAAAGCGTTTGCGCATGGACCGTCAAAATAGAGTCCAATATGCTAAGCAGTTAGCATTTTGGCAGATCACCTACTGCACCTTTAACTGGAGACTGACTTTGACCACAGTAAGTGTATGAGAGAATTGTTAACTAGAGCCAAGCTCTGAACAAAAATAAGTAAGTTGTTAACTCCAAAATAATTCACTTGTTTATTATTCAGTGTAATTTGTAAACGGATTTAAATGAATATAAAAATATTTCATTCACAAGCGAATGACATTTTTTTCAGTTTAATATAATGGGAATGTTTTTAAGAAATGCAGTGGAGTATATTTAAAAAAAAATTGACAGTTTGTCTGCTTCCATGCATTTTGTGGAGAAACCCCATTTTTTGTTCAGAGTGTAAATAACAAATTTATTATTCTATTATTTTATAGAGGTTCTTGTCAAAACAGCCTGAATATATATATATATATATATATATATATATATATTAGGGGTAAAACGATTTATCGTTGTACGATTTATTGGGATGCAAAAATGTCTCTATGCATCGTGGCGTTATGACGATTTGATTACGATATGACGTCCGTTTTCTCTTATTAGTTGAGCTGTTTGCACGTGAGCTACGTTCCACCTGCTGTGGCACGTGAGTTCAGATTGCAGCAGCAGTAATGTTAGCAGACCAAGATAAGTGGAGTTGAAATAGAGGATGGCTCATCCTCTCAAAATCAGACGTCTGGCAACATTTGGGTTGTACAGTCATTGCTTTAGACTCGTCCGCTTTTTGACACGCATACTGGGTCAAACATCCTAAGTTTTAAAGTCTTCACAGTGTTTACATACTTTGCACAGCGACATGGATACCTCCTAATGGTGTTGAAAGAGTCACATACTGTATTTATAAGGTACAATTCACCCTAAAATATCATTCTGTCTTCATATAATGATGTATTGGCCGCCGCAAAATCACACAAGACGTGAGCTGTTACTACAGAGGGCGGATGATAGACGCGCGAGTATGGCAAGCCGTTTTAGCATTTAAACCTTTGATCTGACTATCCATAAATATATTTAGAGATATCTCTAATTATATTTTGACTAGTCATAATTATAATTTGACTAGTCAAAATATAATTAGAGATATCTCTAAAGGAATTTAATTAAATATGAATTAAATATATTTATGGATAGTCAGAACAAAGGTTTAAATGCTAAAACGGCTTGCCATACGCGCGCGTCTGCTTCAGTGAACAGAACCTGCAGGTTGTGACTAATAAAGTAGTAAACAACATTCAGTTTGTGGAGCAGAGTGATCTTTCAGGAGCCGTGTGGGAAGTATAAACAGCACTTAGCAGTGGAAATGAAATCGAAAACGTACACATTATTTAAACAATCATATCGCATTTTAGAGTTATAAATACGACGAGCATTAACCCTTTTGAGTACAGAGGTACACAAAAATGCACGTCAACATGATACACTTGATAGCGCCGACATCAGCGACGCCGAAGAAATAGTAAACCTGCCTAAACTGCTGAAAAGAGCCACGACTGTACTGTGTAATGAAAAGACGGCCACCCTGTCACTCATCATGCCCAACATGAAGACAGCCATCCATAAAAAAACTCTCAAACAGATACACATAAGTTCAGGATTATTTTATAGAACTGCTGATTACCTGAAAATGTGGATTTTTTTGCACACAGAAAAAACACAAGTGACCAAGCAAAGCCTTAAGCTCTTACTGTTAAATTCAATTGAATAGAAAGCTTATTTTTTTGCACCTTTACTTATATTGTTCCTTAATTTTGTCTCTGTCATTTCAATAATATTTTTTAAGAAGTTTTTAAATTGTTTTATTTTCCAGAGACAGGCCTGTTTAATTTATTTTCTTAAATAAGGTTCAGTTTAACAAGTTGAAACAAAAGAAATACATAAAAAATAGTTTACTTGGTAAAATTTGCATTTCAGTTAAATTTTCAATTTTTATTCCAAATATCGTGATACATATCAAATCGTGAACATTATATCGTGATACACATCGTATCGTGAGCTGAGTGTATCATTACACCCCTAATATATATATATATATATATATATATATATATATATATATATATATATATATATATTGTCGCTTGTGTTAACAAATAAACAAATAATGGTGGATATTATAATTGTGTATTACTGGTAGACACCCCAAAGATCTATTTGACCTCTTTAAGAGCCTTGACACATTTACATGTTCAAATTGGCTAAATACAAATGTTGAAAACAGATGTGAACATTCTCCTTTCTCTAGTATGTCAGAAGAGTTGGTAGACCTTATAGTATTTACACATTTTTAAAAAAGGCACATTTTACAAGTCTCCAAGAGGTCAACAGTTGAAATTGAGTGCTACTAGCTCGTAATTTAATTTACTATGCTATGCTAAAAGCAGACTTAAAAAAAAAAAACAGTTAAAAAAAAAAAACAAAAAGATGGAGTCTTCCTTTAAAGCACCAAACATCATAACGTGACCCATTTACCAAATTACAAAATATCACTCACAGCAGTAATCCGTTGCTTTTCCAAACACCGTAGAGCTGAACTATAAACATAAGAAGAGATTCATCAAAATGAGATAAACATATCTTCGATCTTACCTCCCGATGACCAGGCAGCTGAATCCCTCGGTCAGAGATTGAGTTAATGCTGCCATTATTGCCTGCAAAAGACACAGGATAAAAATGAGGAACCTCAAATATGAACCACAAGGGTGATATAATCTTGTTAAAAATATCATACTGTATGCATACAGAGATGAATTCAAGCTCTACTATGCTCATAAATAAACTGAAAAACTATACATTTAGGAGTACAACAGTGTGTCACTGTTGCAATAGCCTTAAAGGGTTAATCATAGTACCTTAAAGGTAAACAGTACTGCTCAATGTGTGGTACAATGCTTTCCATTCAGGGCTATTGCTCCAGTGAGAAGCTGCTTTAGAATTTAAAGGTAAAATTTTTGCACATTTTTAGACAGTGTGTGAACCGGGACATATTTTGTCACATAAAAATAGGGCTTTTCAGTAAAGTAGCTCCTGCCCACATACATTGCAGATTGTTGAACATAGGTGGGCAGTATTAATATGAGCTACAGACTGGAGGTATTCAGATGACAGCTAAATTGATTCATTCCAGAGCCCCATTACACTTTCAGATTATTTATTTATTTTCCTTTATTGTACTGGAGCTCGAAATTAATCAAGTACAGCTTTTGGTTTTATATCTTCTTGCATCAAATGTCATTTATTGGAACAACATTTCACAAATAGGTTTATAGTAGTATGTGTTGTTTCTGTCTCGGCTGTCCTTTTGCTCTCACTCCACACAGACTTTGGCAGACATTCCATTGGTTAGTCAGCCAGGGCCTTTAATGCTGAGCAGCCAACTTTGTGGGAGAAAAGCACTTCCTGTGGGAAACAGTCAGGCAGAGGGCCCTCTTTCTCTAACAGCACATAATGCCTGGCTAGTGCATGTGTTGTCAAAATTAGAGAGCAATATTTCCACCCAATCAAATTAGGTTTAGCTTACGCTGACATTTAGTGTGGATAAATATATTCAACTACTGACAGATTAGATTCCCATTCACGATCGGTTGTTCTGCTAATTCAGTTTGCTTTATTACATTTACATCTTTCTTTCTAAGGGGGAATATATGAAATCAAAAGTGCAGAGGACAGTGGTGGCCATTAAATGAAATGCAGCCAGCAATATTTATGCTCATGTTATAGGGCTGCACAATATATCGCAAAATTATTGGCATATGGATAATAGTACATGGGATATCCATATCGAAGTGATGTGCAATAGAATAAATTAACTTCATAAGCCAAGCACTTGAGTTGTTTATTTAAACCTGATAAATCAGAAGTGAACCAAGAGCTGAAAATAAGTGCATGCTGGAAGACAAGAAAGGGAAATGTCAACAGCCAATAAGAATCTGAATTTTTGCCGATTTTTTTTTATTTTTTTTTAGTTATTCGTGGTGTTTTAAAGTCTGAATTAAAGTAAAAAATGTTCGAAAAATATCTATTGCTTGTTTATTTTAGTATAATGATTGCATAAATTATTCTTTTTGCATTTTTGATAAAATATCTTCATTTTTTTAAGTTATATTGTAAGAAATATTGTTATTGCAACATTCAAATGTCCTGTTGTGATTTTTCCATTGTGCAGCCCTAACATGTACATATCAGGTGCAGTTCAAGGCTTCAATATACTCCCGACAAAGGTTTTCTGGTTTTTACATGATCAGAAATAAAAGTGCAACAATGAATGGTGCCTTTTATATCACTTGCGTATTTTGTATGTAATGGGAGAGTGTGTGGCTGTTTCCGTAGCACTGAGGGCAGTTAGCTCTCTGCAACTCTCAAATGGTCACCCACTGAAGCTAAGAAGGGCTGCACCCGGTCAGTAACTAGATGGGAGACCACAGGGGAAGTGACAGTAGTGAGACCAGCAGGGGGCGCTCAACCAGTAGTCTGTGTGGATCCTAATGACCCAGTATAGTAAAGGAGACACTATACTGCTCAGTGAACACCATCTTTCGTATGAGACGTTAAACCAAGGTCCTGACTCTCTGTGGACATTAAAAATCCCATGATGTCCTTCGAAAAAGAGAAGGGGTGTAACCCCGGCATCTGTCCATCATGGCCTTCTATCCCCATATCATAATTGATATGGGGCAACCACTGATAAAGCAGGAGGAAAGGTAGTAAATAACTTTAAGTAAATATCAAGTAAATAATGTATAATATGGATGCTTTATAATATATACCGCTACTATTATAGATCCTTTAGTTAATGATTATGTACTTTAAGGTATTACTATGGACCCATTACTTATAAAAGTGTATCTTATAAAAAGGTTCCACACCAGTGACACCTTTTGTACCTTTATTTCTGTGAATGTAGCAGTAAAAACAAGCTGAAAAAGCCTTTGCAGTGATATACTTCCAAACATCCAGATGCTAACCACACTGCTAAAAATTATGCTTAGGCACTTTTGATCTTCCAAAGAAAAATGTCAAGAGTCTTCAAAAATCTGTAACTTTCAGACAATCTATTATGTTCTGGAAGGTCTTCTTTAGGTTTTATTGCAAGCGGTTCATACATTGAGAATACAATTTAGACCAATACATAAAAATACTTATTAGGGCTGCACAATATATATAAAAAATATATTGATTATTGCTTTCACAATAATAGCATATACTGTATGTAATGTCATGATCGCAGAAAGTTGCAGTGAATTATATTAATTTCTATTTGTTTTTAAATATTTGTGTGTTGTGCATTTATACAAATTTGACCAATCTAATGAGTTTTTACTATTTGTACACCAGTGCTATAATGCTATTGGCTATACATGGCCCAAAGGCGAACCTAAGGCTTAGAGCAGAGAGCTGAAAATAAATACTAATGACATGAGTAGGGACAACTGAGCAAAATCACAACAGCTTATAAGACCCAGAATATGAATATGCTAGAATATGCTGAAGCTTTCATAGTGTTAGAAGTCTATGCAAGTCAAAATTTATGTTTAGCCTGAAATAGATTTAATTGGATCAGAAAAAATATTGTAATTTTAATTTTAGTATGATCATTATAGTTACATAGATTAAAAAACAACTAATAAAAATAGTATTTCACTATGAAAATGTTATAGTCGCAACAGAAAATATCATTATGCAATACTCAACAACAATTTAGCATATTTTGCCAGGATCGTACAGTTCTAGTTCTTAAATATAGCCCCTTAATTCTTTCAGAACAATGCTAATCTTAATATATGTAAAACAATAACCCAACACCACACACTACAGTGTAAACTTTGTAGTGATCTCATGACCAGCTTTACAGCACAGGAACAAACCTTGACAAAACTTACATTGTGAAAATGATGCAGCGGAATAAAACGTCGACATATCTTAAACATTTATAGCATTTAAAGCAAGGTTGACATTGCCAAATAAGTAGTACCACAGAGAAGCGCTCTTGTCACAGTTTGGTCTCTGAGATGCTGATGAAGCATACTCATATGCTGAATAATGATGGTAAGAAATATGAATCATGAAAAATATGAAGCAGATGAGAAAGCGTGGCAGAGTGGGAGACGGACAGACAAGTGCCACATGTAGCTCTGTCCGTACCTGCTGGTAAGGTCCTCCTGTAGCCCGTCAGAACGGCACAGCCATCTTAACCCATGAGCCAGTTGACAGTGAAAAGATGGAAGTCAAATATTAAAACCTTTCTTTTTAAAGAGGAAAGTAACATGTGCCATGGTTAACACAATAATATAGGTCTGGTCTCTATCATTTCCATTCTAAGAGAAGACCAATATTTGCTCATAGCAGAGCCAACAGGTGCAGGTCTCGCAGGCTTCCTCTGATCGTGCTATTATGAGTGATGATTAGGCCTACTGGGAGAAAAAGGCTTTGATAATGGCACCTTTGTGTAATACTTTAAAGCAGAGAGGGAAAAAGCGGCAGCAGTGTTAATAAAACCCGTCTTAATACAAACCTGTGGCCCTCACAGTAATTTCCCAATAAACACGTCAACAGTTTAAACAGCCCCTATTATGGGTTTTTGAAAATTACCATCTATGCAATGTGTAACACAGCTCTAAGAGAAGAAAAAAACATCCAGCCGAGGTTTAAATCTGAAAGTGCACGTGTGTTAAAAACGATTGATTCTTTAACTAAATAGTCTATTCAGAGTTGAATAAATGAATCGTGTTGGGTTCGGATCTTTTGCCTGAACGCATCGTTGTCGATACAGTACATCACCAAATATGTAGTCCTGGATCCAGTAAAACGTGAACGCGCCTTTCCCTTCAGACACTAGCAGAGCGCTGGGATCATAGTATTGATTATGACACGAAGAAGACAATCACTGACAGATGGAGATTCGGCTGCAGGGAATAAACAGTTAAAGTTCATTTTCACAACAATAACAGAGTATAGCCAAACTAGTGCTGTGTTTGTTCCTGTCATTTTTCTGAAGATTGATACAATGACCTACCCTGCAGTGCAGGATTCGCTAGACGTTTGTTTTTAAAAGGAAGGAGCAGCAGAGACTATTATGTATGGGACTTTGTCAGACTTTGATAGGGACTTTGTCAGTAACTGTTACAGTTCACATGGAGCAGTTTCTTCTTTCTCCGAATCATAATGTAAGTGAGATTTAAAATTGTTGCCTCATTTTCTGTAGTTTGCAAAATGTGTTTAATTCTGTGTTGTAAGTTTCAATCACTCCACGAGGCTTGTGATCATTTCTTATAGATCAGTGCTTGTACTGTATCTCTCAGGTTAAATCTGTATGGGCTATTCACATATTGGGTCCACAACTGAATTAAAAACGTGACGCATGCTTCTTCCTTTACCGATTTAAATGTGGTTCTGAGTTTGCGATTCCCTGCTATTTGTCTTTGCTATGGCCATCATCAGCTGTTCCTCACACGTGTGGCTCAGTCGATTTTATAAATAGTTTAACTTTTGCCACTGTGTGGAATAATACTGAATGTGTGTCATTGTTATTACTTGGGGTTAGGTTTAAGAGTAGTGGAATATGCTGGTGTTTAACTGCATTGCTTTAATGCATTACTCCATTGGTACAATTATATAAATAAATAAGTACAATTACGGAGAGCACAAAATTTCTAATTATGGCCACAATGTGTATACTGAAGCACATTGTCAGATTATGTTTAATATGATTATTGCCCTTTTCAGACAACCGTTGTGTATTTCATAAACTGTAAAGGGTTGTCCTGCTGCTACTAATGCTACTACTACTTCCAAAATCTTTACAAGCATTGACCAATACTGTTTAGATGCATGTCACTGATGAGAAGATGACAAATGTTTACTGTATGATGACCGAAAGGGACTTAAACTCCCAGCAGGCACACAACGTCAACATGACGTCAGATTAACATTGTACCCTAACATCATGGGGATGTTGCATTTTTTTTGGAAGTGAAAATCGGACGTCGATCTCCAACGGCCAACCTGAAATCAACCAAATATCATTGTCTAATGATGTTACAGCTTGAAGTTGTGTGAACGTTACCACTATGACATCTCTCAGATGTTGATTTTGGTTGCCATAGCTGATAAATAAATGTCAGTTTTTGATGTCAATATGATGTTGGTTCAAGATGTAGCCTCTGTTAGAATTTGGTCAGTTTCTAAACCAACCTAAAATCAACCAAATATCAATGTCATTTGACGTCGTTATTGGACATAAAAATAACCTCCTTAGACGCTGGCTAGACATTGAATTTTGGTCACCTGACATCACAACCTAAATCCAACCTAACATTAATGTCATATGAAATTGTGTGCCGGCTGGGCAAAAACGAAATGCACTACAGCACGGATCCCCCATCCACATCACCGCCTGATGCTCTTCACGATCAACCCGTGCACCAATTGTTAACCTGATTGGTTAACAAATTACCAGTTTTGCCTGAAGTTTGTCTAAATGAACAACCAACTCTCTGTGGTAAAGTAATTGCCCTGTGTGCTATTTTACTATGCTGATAAGGAGTGGATGATGTTTGGAGCGTAGAATGATGATGATGCATGTCGCGCAAAGATAATGTAAAAGTCACATTAAATCCTACATAACTGTTTACACTGCGGTCGCATCGCAAAATATCAGATATGTGTCTGATTTAATACTAAATATGAAAGTGGCACAAATTACAACAGAAAAGATCCGATTCCATGCAGTTAGGGCTGTTCACACTCTCATCATCTGAGTCACATGTGGACAAAAATTTTTTATTTGGGCCACATTTGGCTACAGTGTGAACGTAGCCTCTGTCTCGCACTGAACCCAGCTGCCCAATCACAACAGACTGGGTCATTGGACAAATCACAGCAGATTAGCATAACGCAAAGGAGGAGTTAGTGAACAAATGATTCACTGAACAAATTATATAGGAGTCGTTGAGATAATGGGGTACAAATAAATACATATTATAAAACAATGAAAGTGTTTTTTGACCTTGCATGCATATCAGCATGTTGTTGGAGACCTCGAAAACCAAAATATGACCTTTTATATTTATACCTTTCAATATAAATTGAATTTAACAGCTTAATGAAGCCCTCTTGCATCACTGCACTTTTAATGCATGATAAAACATGTAACTCAAAATGGCAAAGTATGTCAGGAAATGCCATAGAATGAGGTCAGAAAGCATTCACAGGATAGTTATATCACATTATGGGCAGCTAAACCATCTTGCGTCCAGAACAAAGTTTGTTGAAAAAAGCTGCACAATAACACAGGAACTGTATCATTATCAGCAGGATGCAATTGTGCCTCAGAGCAAATAATTCCTTATTTTAGCAAACTCTTAAATGGCAAGAGAAATTAACAATAAACATACGGTGAGGTCGGGAGGAGGTCTGTATTAAAAACAACAAACAAACCTATTCACCATTTAAATCAGATGCAAACAAACACCTCTGAGTCACGTACACACTAACATTCGTGCAAACGGTTTCCCTTAAAACAGGGCGATCCCTTTAAGGGTTTATTTATGACTTTTACTGGGTCAGCTACTTGTTCATACAGTATGGCTATCAAAGAGAAAGCTAAATTAATAAGCCTGTTTCTATAGCAACAAGTCTCACACTCTTTCTCACTTTCTCCCAGTTACTGTACTGACAAGCGTAGCCTCACTTCTTGGCTGTTGCGACAGTTTTAATAACAATTTTAATTCAGTGCTTGTTTTTTTTTTTTAATACTATTTAAATAATGAAACACTTTAGTATTCAGTTACTAGTTTAATCCCCTCATTATGACCCTACATAACAGGTCATGGGAACACAGATACTCTTGCACGTGCACACAAACAAACACATCCGGCATGTCATGACAAGTACAGCTCGCAAAAATCTATTCATGGTCCACATGGGTGTCTCTCTAAAGAGGAGGATACCATGAGGTCGGTCCTGATAACAGACTCAGTCTTCTGCATGATAGCCCAGGGTGACAATGCACTGATAAACACAGAGAAGACGGCAGAATGATTCACACTGCCAGACACTTTACAGTTTACTCTGTTATCCCTATGAAGTGCAAGCGAGTCAATAAAAGTTTTGTTTTTTCCACAGGGCACAAATAATAACAGTTCATCCTGACTGAATTACTCTGTTGATGTAAGATCAGAATGTTAAATGTCTTTTCTATGATACGGTTGGATTATTAGCATAATGCGTAATGTGTATTATGGGTGATGATTAGGCCTACTGGAAGAAAAAGGCTTTGATAATGGCAACTTTGTGTAATACTTTAAAGCAGAGAGGGAGAAGCAGCAGCATTGTTGATAAAACCTGTCTTAATACAAACCTGTGGCCAGACACGTTACAGTTTATTCTGTTATCCCTATGAAGAGCAGGCGAGTCAAAAGTTTAGTTTTTTTCCACAAGGCACAAATAATAACACTTCATCCTGACTGAATTCAAGTACTCTGTTGATGTAAGGTCAAAATGTTAAATGTCTTTTATATGATACAGTTGGATTATTAGCATAATGTGTAATGTGTGACTTGTTATGCTGATCCCTCCCAGGCCTTTTCTGACATTTATTTTAACCCTTGCTGATGTCAGCTTTTGTTTGCTCATTTAAGGCACTAAGGAATAAGTTCAGTAACGCCATTTTGTGCAGAAAATGCTACACCAGCTGGTATCAAGTGGCCTAAACTACTAATTAATAGTAGGGATGTACCGATTCACCTGACTCATGATTCGATATGATTTACGAGACAAATCTCATGATATGATTCACACACAATTTTTTACCAAAATTATTTTAAACAAATTTAAGGCTTTTTAATTTTTTCTTAGATGCTGCTTATGTTCTGCCATAACTAAATAGCTTAAATATTTTAAAAACAAATTTCAAATTAAATAAATAATTTTTAATACAGACTAATGAAGACTCTTTAATGTAAACAAACTAAAACTGTGAATGTGTGTAAAAAACATGCTGGATAAGTTGGTGGTTCATTCCGCTGTGGCGACCCTGGATTCAAAAAAAAGGAACTAAGCTGACAAGAAAATGAGTGAATGAATAAATAAACTAATTTTAAAAGGAGAGCGTAAAAATAATCTTATAACTGGTTCTGTAACAGAACAACTTTCTCTTTTAGCTAACTAGCTAACTCTAGGTATGAGGC